TAAGTCGGCCTAATAGTAGGACTTACCAAAAAACCATTTGATCATGTACTATTTCCATAATTTGATTCCTCAACATGATGTTGGGATCATATGGAACTCCTACAAGTTGGTTCATTAGTTGATTTACTTTAGATCTGATATTTGGTCCTTGGTTGGCGACAAAATTACCATTGTTTGGATCATTATTACCGTTAGCCTGAGTGTTTACTCCATCATTAACACGCGGGATGTTCTGTCCATTATTTAGGACGTTATCTATTATATTTAGATTACCCCCATCACATTACCACCATCCAAGTTTGGCATTCCACCACCCACTGGTTTGAAGTAGATGGACCGAAGGGTGGTTCTAACCCTTGACCTGGGTTCAAACCTGGGGAATTATGTCCCACGGTCGTCTTGGTTTGAAATTGATTCCCTATTGGTACAACTGGTTGACACAGTTGGCCCATTACCTTATTCATGATTTTATTTTACGTGTTTAGTTGTTTGGCCATGTTGTCANAGTTGACGGGCCGAAAGGTGGAGCTATCACTTGATTTGGACTCAGGACTGGAGAATTATGTCCAACAATTGTCCACGCTTGGAAACTTGGCATAACGGGTTGACAAATTTGGCCCACTAACTTATTCATGATTTTATTCAGCGTGTTTAGTTGTTTGGTCATGTTGTCATAACGTGGGTTCCCATTTTGGGTAAATCTTTCCATATTGTGAACATTTCGTAGATTTACCTGTTCAACGACATCTTGTGTGAGTTTCTCAAGTAATGCTCGCATGATCCGAGAACTCAACTCTGTCATTGGTTCTTAACGACTTTAACTACTTTGACTATGTCCCTCTGTTAGTGGAGAGCTTTGCTACTCCTCATATCGCTCGATCACAGACTGGACTACTCCTGATTTGCTGGTTCTTTATCAGAATTCTTAGAAGGCATAATGCTTCACTTTTCGTTTCCTCAAACACCAATGTCCCACTGGGCGTGCCAAATTATTTCGCGCGGATTATCGCTAACAATTAAAAGAAAGGTTCAGACGATTATGTAAAGAACAAATCTCTTGAGACAAAGTCCCAAAAATGGGTGCTTTATTTATGAAGATTACAATTGGAAAGAAGCAAAACGCCTCCAAGAGGCATAAGCACACGAAGTAAATTGAAAATTTGCAAATAGAAAGTAAATGAATTGAAATTACATATTCTCTGTTGAGAGTGTTTGATTCGATGGTCCTTCTTCTATGTCTTCTTTTCCTTGTTATACTCCTTTGTCGATTTCTTCTTGTAAAACTGCTTGGCGCTCTATAACTACCCACTTTCTTCGTGATGGCTGACTTGTCAAGGAACTGCCGTTAGTAACTGTTGTTAGTGCTCTTGTTGTTTAACCGCNGAAACTGTTTGGCGCTCTATAACTACCCACTTTCTTCGTGGTGGCTGATTTGTCAAGGAACTGCCATTAGCAACTGTTGTTAGTGCTCTTGTTGTTTAACCGCTTGTAACTGAGATTTTTGGATCGTGGGGTGCGATAGGATTACTCAATAACTACTTCAACAACTGAACAAAAGCTATATTCATCCAGACCTTGGGCGTCTCGAAGGCTTGGGCGAGAGTGAGACCGTCGTTCTGAGCGACAATGGGAGACTTTATTCGCTCAGGTCCTGGGCATTCTGCAGGTTTGGGCGATGATAATCCTCTGCTCGTGAGCTGTCATTATATTTTACAATAGTCTTATTTGGGCCAATTTCTCAATTTTCTTAACTAGGCTCCATTTCTTGGACCACATAATTGGGTCTGACTTAATAATTGAGCCTCATTTAATCATTGGGCCTCATTTTTGTATGTCAATAATATGTTTCTAGGAAATCTCAGCTTTAGGAATGGTTATGCATCCACA